CAGCTGGATTCAAACCAAGATTTAATCATGTAAAACAGATGAGGGTTTACTCCACTGGTTTCTGCTCTGTAATTATCACTGAAGTGCACACTACTGCCAAATAATAATTAAAAGAAAAAAAAGATAGAGTCAAATATTTATCAGCCTTCCTTACTTGCAGTTCTCTATTGTATTTCAGCTTCACAAGCTGGAAGCAACCTGAAAATAAAAGGAAAAACAAGAAAAAGGAAGCAGTTTTCTCTGCTGCTGTGTAGCTGAGGATCCACAGAGGTCCAGGCTTCAGACCCAGCGCTGTACATCGAGAAAGCACCGTGCAGTCACCAACAGGTCTATTTGTAAATACCCACGGAAAGCAGCAGGGAAATGTGGGAAACCCCCAGTTCCGGCATCTGAAATGGTGTGCAGAGCAGCTCAAAATGGGATTTCTCTCTTCTAAGACGTAATTCCAGCCATTAGCCAAAAGACCATCCCATTAGGGAAAAAAATACTGTAGTCTATCAGTGTCTATTTTCAAAGGGATTAAATAAATGGACAGTTTTGATGACTGCAACTCTCTGCCATCACCCAGAAATCTTCAAGGAATGTGGATTTTCCAGAACAATGGCAGCAGGGATTCCTCCCTATCCCCTATTCCTCCCTGGACATCTCCCCATCTCTGTGTCACTGTGGTCTGTGCACAATCTGTGCTTCTTCAGAAACATACGGCCAAAGAAGTTACTAGTAAAATAAGTAAATAGTATGCTTTGCAATCAACCTGGAGAAGCTTGTACTGTGCTGTTTGCTGTTTTACACATCAGAACATCACCTGAACAAGTATTAATATAATTAAAAAACACAACCACCAACCCAAACAGGAAAAAAACAACCAGCAAACTCCTGTTTTCAGATCCAACATGCCTGATTTTTTCCTTCCAAGCTTCAAGAGCAGTAGCAGAAAATGACAAAGGACTGTGCTTCCTTTATGGAGTCAGTGTAAAGGATTAAGATGGCAGAGCTGCCTTCGAAAACATCCAAGGCCCTCTGGGCCTGTAACTTTTGTTACTATCTGGCTAGAAACATCAACATGCATTTTGAAAGTTATAGAAGCACTTACTGCTTTTCATCTTCAAAGCACTGCTTAATCCTTTCAACTCTGGATGCAAGTGTTATCCCTCTGTTTTGGAGGTGGAAATGTTACCTTGCCCCACACTATCAAAAAATAGCCCTCACCATGGATACCCCCTGCAGCTTTAAAAGGTTAAAGCTGGTCAAAACCAAGAATTTCAGTTGTCTGAACCAACAACCTACTCTGTAATTTCAACCAGGTCACAGAAGCCAGGATCAGAAGAGCCAGGTAACAGGGATGGTGAAACTCTAGCAGCAGATAGGTCATGCCACAACCACCAATTTAGTTTTGATTTTAGTATAAAGGGATGATAAGCTTTTAATTGCTGCCGAGTACCAGCTCTGCACAGGAGAATATATTGCAGGACTGTCACACAAGCTACTCACTGACCAAGCTCCAGCTCCTCTGCAAATGATATCAGGCTATTTAAGATACAGTCTACTGAGTAACGACAAGTATTACAGCTGCTCAGACTGGCAAGTGGAGATGTGGTTGCACTCGGTCTTCCAAGGATGCAGCCTGCTGCCAAAAGCTGCTCCCTGTAATGATACGAGTGCTGTCAACACGTGCTCTAGCAAACAAAAAGGGAAAGTAATGGTGATGAGTGCCTGTAGGTACTGTACCTGTGTCCTACTACAGGACCAGCACCCACCACAAAACAGCAGCTTCTCCTTGGAGGTGGGAACAATAATTGATTGGTGCAATAGAAGAAGTCAAACAATCAATGAACTTTCTATATGTCACCACTCCTGGAGACATAACACCCAGGATAGTAACACACAGACACACAGGTAACAGTAACCCACAGGAGCAAATGACACTGAGGACAGTAACACACAGGAACCTTCTGCCTGCAGCACCCAAAACATGTTCTCATGGAGTGAATACTTCTTATGGTACAAACGTGGATATTCTAATTTGAAACTTAAATAAGAAACAGTTAAACCACAGTCCAATGCGTTCTGCAAATGGTGCATCTCATAAGTTGTCACGTACATTACACTATCCCCAGCTGCTCTGTGCAGTACCATTCAAGGAATAAAAGTATGTATGAAATCAGAGCACTTAGGCGAGAAAAAGCATTACTTCAGGTAATAGTCAGATAATGCACTCATGCAAGTGCCTTTAAACAGAAAGCTGCGGTGCGAGTGCCAAAAACAACTGTCAGGCTGATGCTGGCATCACAAATCTCTCATCCTTGCTCTTCTTGTACCTTCAGCCTACATATTACAAAGTGGATTAACACGCACCTCATTCCTCTCAAGAATGCAAAACAACATTTGATTAAAACCACAAAGTCCTTCTTGCTGTTGGACTAACGACATGAAACACTGGTGGAAGAATGTATCGCAGGAAGCAGATGCCGCGCGGAGGAGACAAATCTCATTGATAGCACTGATGGCTGCTCCAACAGAAATCTAATGCCTTTTCTATCTCCCAACTTCCATACGTGTTACTGTCTGCCCTTTTCCACAAGCATTTAAGGCTCACAAACACCATGGTTCTCCTCTTACCTCTTCCACTTGCTCCTCTAGTGCCCGCTCTGGAGGCTCCACTTCATCCTCCCTTCCTGCATTTATGGAGGCTGTGTCTACAATTCCCTCTTTTTCCAGACTGGAAACACACCCAAACCAACCTCTTACCTTCACTCTACTGAAGTGTTTCCACCTGCTCATTCACTCATTGGATGCTTCCTCCAGCCCAGACCTACCCTTCCTCCAAAGCCCTCTCCCACAGACGCGTCCCGCTCCGGTGGCTGGCGACACCTCCTCCTGCCTATTACCAGGATGTGCAGACAATTGGCAAGGACCAAAGCATGAAGAGAGCATGCAAGGGAAGTGTTAAATCCTGCCTCTTCCTCCTCTACAGTTTAGGAAGCTAAATAAAACCACAGCTCCCAAATGGTCGGGTATTAATCCTTCCTCTTGCTACCGCAACTTCCTCTCACCAGGTCCTGATTTGGGGCCTGTCACTACAGTAAACCCAATGACACCCCTTGATTTAAACCCAATTAAACCCCCAAATCATTCTCGCTCTTCTTCTTTCTCATCCTTTCTGCCCAGCACAGCCCCACCATGGCATCTGCCCGCATCAGCCCAAATATCCCCACTGCACCAATAGTCCTGCAGCACAAGCAACCCACCACACAGCACCAACAGCCTCATTCACAGAGAAAAGGGCATTTAATTCTGTGCCAGCTACACCCGGCCCTGCCTGAGCAGGGTTGGGGAATTCTTACCCTAAAATCAAACGAGAAGCACGGGCTGCAGTGACATATGTCATAACATTTTTTTGTTCTACTGTAGGAAGTCGGCAAAGAAGCTTCTAAAATCAGGGGAGGTTTGTTCCCACCGGGTTTTAATCTTAAACAGCTGTAATAATGTTACAGGGGGGAGCAAAGGACAGGCTGTGCATTAGCTTGATGGGAGTTAAGACAGCCAAAATATTAAGCATATAAAAATAGAGCTCGGTTATGAAAAGGGTTTTCAGAGTTTAACTACTGGTTTCGCCGCATGAAATTACTTTGGGGCCTTAAATATCCAGGTAATAGTAAACTCAGTTTGAACATTATCTGCATCCCTGAGCACTAGCATCCAGACTGTGCACGAGTTTGTGTCACTGATGCAATTCTGGGGCAGAAAGCCTGGCTCACCCCATGGTTAGCTAGTGTAACACAGCAAGGTAACGTGTATTTCTGAGTTGCTATTTTAAAGACAGTATGCACTGCGCTGATCGAATTAGGGCTTTTTTAACAACAGCAACAGATTTAGCAAGGCAATTAGACTGACTTAATTTGCATTAACCAGGGACTCCACCAGTTACAGGATTATGCTCATATCTTTTTGAGGGAAATACATACATGCATATGCACAGCACCAGGGAAAAAAGTGACTTCCCTGAATTCGGTACATCAATAATCTACCTTGTTAAGTGAAGTCATTTAAATCCACGTCTTCTTAGCATGAGGGACAAGAGACAGCTCAGTGTTTCTCCGGACAAAACGCAGCCCTAGGAGGCCGGCTAACACAATGATGCTTCAGAGGTGAGAGAATGAAGCCAGTTTAGAGAAGATAAAAGGCCATTTGGGTAGAGACCCCTGCTGCTCCTATGAAAGTGTCTCCTTTTCAGTTGGGGCGGCTTTTAAAACTGCATTTGCTACTGACCGTACCTTCCCCGGGAAGCCGCTTGGGATCTGATTTCACTTCCCCCCCCCCCCTCCAAGGGAGCCGATGGCTGTAACGCAGGTACCAGCTCACTCTGCAAGAAGCACCAGTCCACACACGAACACCCCATTAAGATCGCACTTCTAAGGCTGAGAGGCAAACAATTCCCCATCCCCACCTTCACCCCAACACCGAAACGCACTACAGCATCTGACTGTACTTGTCCTAACGCACTCTCGGGCCGGGAAGCGTTTCTTCATCCCGATCGGAGCGGTCTGGGACAAGACTGGACTCATCGCAGCTCCTGGCCAGCAGGCACAGGGATGGATGCCCGGGCTGGGGGCAGGTTTAGCACCAAGCCACGACGGCGCAGTTACCCCCAAGGCCGGGATCGGACCCCTTCGCTAAAAACCACCCCTCAGGACTTCGGGGGGAGGCGTTTTCTGCCCGTTTCTATTGTGTAAATTACAAACAAAACGGGAGTCCGGCGGCTTCCCTCCCGCCAGACTCCTTCTCCTCAGCGGAGCCGCGGGGTGCTGAGGGGAGCGGGGCCGGGGAGCGGCGACCCCTCACCCGGGGGAGGGAAAGTTCGCAAAGAAGAAAAGAACCGGGAGAGAGGGCGAGTTGTAAGGGGGGAAAAGGAGAGGAATGAGGGAAGAAAGGGCAAAACAGGAACCGGGAAGAGCGTGTGGAGGAGGGAGGGGAGGAGGGAAAACCAGGCGAGGCCGTACCTGCATGGTGACGACCCCCAGCTCCTCGGTGGCGAGCGTCCTCATCTGCGCGGCCAGAACTTGCGCCTCGTCCAGGATGGAGAACTCGGCCTCGGCGGCTCCCAGCGCGCAGAGCAGCGCCAGGCAGAGCAGGCCGAGCGCACCCCGACCCCGCGGGCGGCGGCCCCGGGCAGCGGCCTCCAGCCGCCCACCGCCCCGCGCCATGCTGCCGCGGCGGGAGAGCCGCGGGCACCGCCTCCGGGCCGCTTCCAACCCGCCCCCGGCGACTCCCGCACCGCCTCCCCCCCGGGCCCCGGTTCAGGGCTGCGGCGCGGCCGCCATGCAGGGGGACGACGGCGGCGGCTCGGCGGGCTGGGAGCCCGGCTCCGGGGCACACTGCGCGCCGCGGCCCCGCCGCTCACTGAAGAGCGGAGGCGACCGGAGAGACGCAAACTGCGGAGCGGAGGAGGAGCGGGAGCGGCGGGGCCGGGATCGGGAGCGGAGGCGCCGCGGGGAGAGGGAGGCGTCTGGTGCCGCCGCGCTGCGGGCGGGGGCAGCTCCGAGACGGGACGGGACGGGACGGGAGTTACCCCCCTCCCTCCGCTACCGCCCCGCCCCGGCCGCTGCCGGCGGGGAGCCCGCACCGGCCCCGGGCGCGGAGCGGAGGCTGCGGGAGCCGCAAGTGGGGTGCGAACAGCCCTAAGAGTGCCCCTGAAAAGTCAGCAAAACGTTCCTAAAATGTGCCTCTTGTCGGTTTATTTTAACCTCTTATTCTGACTTTTAACTTATTTTTACTTCTTTTGTTTTAAATCTTTTTATTATTACTTTTTAAAATCCTCTTTTCTTTTAAATCCCTGTCCCCTCCCTCAACCCAGAGCATAGAATCATAGAATCAGCTAGGTTGGAAAAGACCTTTAAGACCATGGAGGCCAACCATTCACGAAGCCACCCAGCCCTGAGGGTCCTTGTGCAGGCTGGAGTCAAGCAACAAAGCGTTTACCGGGCAACAGAGGTGGGAAACAGATAACACGGAGAGAAGGGCCGCAGAGCCTAATCTGCTCGACGGTACACAAACCACAGCTGTCCTCCCAGGAAGAGCAGGGTAATATGATGGTGTAACAGGGTAATAGAACAAGCTGAGACCCCTGGAGAAACACCCCCTCTGAGTGAGGGAGCACTGGGGTAGGGACAAGCACATGCCAGCTCCTGCACCCAGTGATACCTAGCAGCACCTTAGAACCACAGAATGGTTTGGATTGAAAGCGACCTTAAAGCTCCTCCAGCTCCAACCCCTGCCACGGGCAGGGACCCCTTCCACTAGAGCAGCTTGCTCCAAGCCCCTGTGTCCAGCCTGGCCTTGAACACTGCCAGGGATGGGGCAGCCACAGCTTCTCTGGGCACCCTGTGCCACCCATTTTCCTCAACCCATCATCTTCCTCACACTTTACACCTTCCCTCCTCATCATGCACCTCATTAGGAACACACCGAAAGCCTTGCATGAACACTGGGTTGTATTAGGAAAACAGGTCCAGGGGAATAAAATTTGCTGCATGAAAGCAGGGGTCCCTTTGTGCTGCACCTGGCAGTGGCTCTGCCCAGCAATCAGCCAGCCCAAGAAGCCAAACACTTGGCCCATACAAAACACATACCCTCTAGATTTGCTCTTCACTAATTAGCACTTTCAGATACGTCATGACCCTGCAGGGGTATATAATTCTTAAAGAAATCCTACCTGTAATGACAAAAGATAGCTTTGATCCCCACTTCATTGGTTAATTACATCCTGCCAGAGCCACCGGTGTCCTTAACTGGTGTCATTAACTCCATGAGTTAATGATTCATCCAAGAACTAATACAACATAACAACAACATAACACATATAATTGTATGGCAATATTCTTCTTGCTTAAAATGTGGTTTCTATCTGTTTTAATGGCTGATTTCTTGACTTCTCCCAGGTGCTGGGTGCCAGCAGCCATTCCCCATCCTTCTCTGCAAAGAAGTGGGAACTGGGTCAGACCCAAATCCCTTCTGCAGACAGAGAGGGCTGCTGCCGGGCAGCATCTGCTGGCACTGCTCAGGGTCAGGCTTTACCCACCTCTCTTGTTGTAAGGGACACTCTTTCCAACTCTATTTAATTTGGTTTTAATAAATGCAATTTAATACTTCCAATGCAAAAGCTGTATCAGCCTATCCTTGGCTTTTGTTCTTTAGGTGATTTATGGTTCTAACATAATATACTTCTTCAGCTTTTCCTCAGCAGCACTAAACTTTGCAGGTTTAGCACAAGCAATCTAAACCAAACCCAGTGCCTCTCAAAGCTGCTGTGATTGGTTTCCTGTATTTCCACTGCTGAAGCAGCATTTGCTACCTGAAAGGCAAGGAATTTTCTTTCCATCATGCTCAAGCCCTTGGACTTCTGTTGGAATATTTTCCCTAGGCCCAAGAGACAGAGAAGCAAAACTGAGCCAAATTTGCTCTTAGCACTAGTCATTTTCCTATTACATTGTATGTATTTCTTATTAGAGTCACCAGTGTAGGATGCAAGGGTTTTAAATTATAGTGAAAAGCTGAGTGGTTTTCAAACATCCTGGCTAAACTGCTCGGGGTTTTTACTTTATTTCTGACCTTAACTGCATGTTTGACAAGAAAACTTCACTTCTGTAAACTCTGTCATATAAAATACCATCAAACCAAGGCCACAGCTGGAGCTAAGTCAGTAGCCAGCTGCATTAGCACCACCACTGAATTCCCAGCTATCCAAGTCATGCAATTTATGCACCCGATCATGAAATCACAAGGTTAATGCTACAAATAGCCTGTCTTCTTTCTTTTTTAACAAGCTAACTTCAGGAAATGAATGAAGCAATTGTCCTTCTGGTTCCAAAGCCCTGGGATCCTGCTCATGGTGAGGGAACCCACTGAACAGGTTTAACATTTTCCTTTACAATCTCAATTCATGCACTCTATAGCCCTGGAGGCAAATCCAGACTCCTCCTGGAGTTCCCATACACTTTGTGCTTCCACCCTCCAGCACAGCAGCCATTAGCAACCCCTCCTTGGACCCCGCAGCCCCAGTGCCCCTGTATTTGTGGTGGAGCTGGTCCATGGTTGCAGAAAGGGGACCTGGTGCAGAGTTGCCACTGAGTTAACCACCAGTGGTTGCGTTTCTAAATCAGTTGTACACATGCGTGCTTTAATGTGTAAGAATATTTACAGAAAAATAGGAAACACCTCCTCCAAAATGCCATGAAAGGAAAAAAAAAAAAATTCAGATTATAGAATCATTAGGGTTGGAAAGGACGTTAATATCATCCAATTCCAACCCCCCTGCCATGGGCAGGGACACCTCACCTAAACCATGCCACCCAAGGCTCTGTCCAGCCTGGCCTTGAACACTGCCAGGGATGGAGCATTCACAACCTCCCTGGGCAACCCATTCCAGTGCCTCACCACCCTCACAGGAAAGAATTTCCTCCTTATATCCAATCTGAACTTCCCCTGTTTCAGTTTGAACCCGTTACCCCTTGTCCTGTCACTACAGTCCCTAATGAAGAGTCCCTCCCCAGCATCCTTATAGACCCCCTTCAGATACTGGAAGGCTGCTATGAGGTCTCCACACAGCTTCTCTTCTCCAGGCTGAACAGCCCCAACTTCCTCAGCCTGTCTCCATACAGGAGGTGCTCCAGCCCCTGATCATCCTCGTGGCCTCCTCTGGACTTGTTCCAACAGTTCCATGTCCTCTTTATGCTGAGGACCCCAGAACTGCACACAATGCTCCAGGTGAGGTCTCACAAGAGCAGAGGGGCAGGATCACCTCCTTCGGCCTGCTGGTCACGCTATATGATGTTTGACATCACAGGACACCAGTCAAACCTGCCAATTCAGACAACCTGATGTTTATTGCGCTTTCAAACCGGGCTGGGCTTTCTTAGGCTTAGACAGTCAGGCTGACAAGCTGTGGATTAAATCTGGCTCCTCTTGTGTTAGAATAAGCCTTGCAGAAGAGGTGGGCTGCCCTTGCTTGATGCTGTAGGGTGGTGGCATCCCCAGAAGTGTATATATGTGCAGCAGGCTGGAGAGGGAAAGGACCAGCAAGACGCAAAGAAGAGATGAAACCTCTGCTGTGCTAACAGCCTTCAGGCATCAATAATGCAGCAGATTTGCAAAAATGAGGCCACACTAGAAATATGTCCCTTCTTTTTTTAAAGAGCACGAAAAGAATCAATCTGGAATTTAAGTGCTGGAGCATGGGAAGAAAAGGAACATATGTCAGATATAAATCCCAGCCCCATGGTGGGAGTAAACATGCTTTTGACAGCAGCACACGCAGATGCCGAATAGGTCAGTATATGGCAACGCTGGGAAACAGAACAAGTGAGATGTCTCCAGAAGAGCTGCTTCATGTGACAGCGCTGAAGAAAAGCACTATTTATTTCTGTAGCACATGATTCAATGTGGTTTATTAACCACGGGTTACACCAAGTCATCCAATTCACCCCAGGGTGTATAACACTGTGTAGGGATCATGACGTTATTGATACATCTTCTAAAGTTCCTTTACAGATAACTAACTAACTTATACCTTAAAAACTGGGATCTAACTGTATTCATATGGCACAGAGCCATATGACTATAGGGGTCCTTTTAGTGCACCCATTGCTGTTGTGCTTGCTTCGCTTTGTAGCACTCTGCTAGCGAACCAGGAACACCATATGCTGAAAAAACCTGGTCTGGCCTATGGAAAATCTCCCTGAAAGTGGCACTACTTTCATGACACTGATCTTCACGCCTGCAAGCAACACAATATATGCTCTGAAAAATCATAGGGTAGACAGAATGCTTGTTTGGCAGCCTCATACTTTCTGCCTGATCCTCTCTGCCTGTCTGTAGCCCTGTTGCTAACCGGTTGCGTGCAAAGCGCACATCCAGTAACCCCATAGAGGCAGAGTGACAGTCAGCCACTCACCAAGAAAGGAACTGAGAAACTTTGTGGCTCTCGTTTCTAACCTCAAAGCAAAACCTAAATTTACTCTCTTTGGTACAAATCCAGATTTAAAATAGGGAAAATGAAAGTTTGCGCAAGGCTGCTACTTTTTGCTTTGCTGCAGTCTCCCTCTTGCATCTCCCAGTTTACGTGCCTTGTTTTTACTTTCTCATCTGATTCCTTTTCCATTTGCCTTCGTTTTGATCATGACCATCAGTAAGGTGTTCACAGGCTAAATCCGAGGGGCTTCCTTTCCCCATGTTGGTTTTCACCTTCAGTTTCCCATCCCTCTCCTTATACCTTTAAATGTTTTCTCTGGAAGTTGCAACTTTGTCTCAGTTTTGGCTACAGTTCTTGCTTTCTCCATCAGTTTCATCATTGCTCACTCTTGAGAGTTACATGTTGAACACCCTGACATGTTCGGACTAAGCCAAGGGTTACATCTCTTACGATTTAATTTGGTATGGAACATTTCAAGTAGCAATTGATTAATGCACC